ACAAATGTAGGAAAACTGATATACATCAAAAGCAAGTATATAGTACAAATACTCTGCGGAAGCAAAGAGTACTCAACAAAAATAATCAACAAGTCCCTCAAATAACTGAACAACACAACATAAAAGGATATCACAAGGCTCATATCTGTTATCCTAGCAGTAAAATGATAGCAAGGTTTCTCAATCATACAAGTCTAGAGTAACAATTGAAAAACCCAGAGACATCATACTATATAGCAACAGGAATAATAAATATAGCCCACATGATAGTAGAAACTGATAACCGAGAAACTGGGATAGACACTGGATGAGCTGACTGACAAGCTGGTCAGTGGAACCTCATCTACTGAAGGTCAGTAGAATCTAGGGTGCCTAGAAGCAAAGATGCCATGTTCGGATTCACCACTAGTGTGAAAATTAAGATGATTAGAAAGTCGTCTAGCAATTAGTAAAATGAACGAAGTGGTTTGTGCACATGTAACGTGTACCATGAATGCATAGCACGTATAAACATAAGAAAAGTAATATAACTATATCACTTTATTTCCTTCATGGATAATAAACATGCATCTCAAACTTTAGATTATAAACAAAACTAGAAAAATCAAATATGTAATAACAACAGAAACCACAAAACGAAAATGCACGTAGATCCTTGGGTATGATGTAAAGGTAGTGTGTGCATCTAACTATTCTTAGATTTTACTTAATCTTATTTAGTAAAAACTCTCATGGGATAATGTGTGTTTGGTGCACTCGCTAAGAACGTTACTTAAATTCTTATTTGACTTGGTTTATGTGCACAAACTCATCTGGCACTGGCACTCAAACACAACCTTGTGCTGCTCATTGACTATAAGATGTCAAATTCTCTCTCACTAATTAAGCCACATGAACTTTTTCATTACTTAGTTATACATGATATGCCATGCACTAGGCCCGAATAACTCAATCCATAGAGAACATCCATCTTTGTGGGTACCCTCTCCGACTAGGTTTCCAAAGCAAACGAAACATCTTGTCAAATATCAAAGCAAGTTATTCATGACTTGATACACACAGACATCTAATCTCTTTCTTGGTTTCTCTTTCTTGATTTATCATGCTTTACACTTATCAAGTTTTGGTGGTGGAGAATCACGAGCCTCCACTCACAGTCGTAATGTATGCTTGCCGAGAACTTTCTTGATTCAAACAGAAAATATTCTTGATTTACTGTTTAGAGAGACACGCCTAATACCCAAAGCTAAGAAATCATCATTATATGTGTGTGTGTGTGTGCGAACGCGCGCAGGCGGCGCTTCCATGCGTGTACACACACACACACACACACACACACACTGTGTGTGTGTGAGAGAGAGAGAGAGAGAGAGAGAGAGAGAGAGAGAGAGAGCAATATGGAGGAACTATGTTACCATAGCACAAGTTTTTGTGCTTAGTAGTATGGTGGTTTATTCTCATCCACTCATTCAAACGGAGACCGTATTCACACAGGTTGGAGAGTGAATGAGAATGAGACATCTCACTACCAAGCATAAAATTTGTGCTAATCAAGCAACTACTTTATCATCTAAGTATCTCCACTCTGCGTAATCACTATCTCATGCTACTCTATAATAACCGCAGCCTCCATCCCCTCTCCACAGCAGCTTTATTTTTCTATAACACTCGAAATTAGCTAATTACATAATCAGTTGCTATATTTCATAATTTTGAGTATTTCCAAGATAAAAATAAGTGATTTAATCCAGAGTTTTTGGCTAAAGTAAGTGTATACTAATCTCCTGTATTACAAATTCTATTAAGAAAAGAAATTTGAATTCTACAAATTATACTTTAAATTCTGAAAATTTTACACCAAAGTTTAATATTGATAAATATAAACACATAATAACAGGCAAAATTTTTGAAGGAAATAAACTGTATATATAATTAGTGGCAGGCCAATGAATAGCCCTTCCATTTAAATACAGAAAGTTCTTTGTATTACCCATTAAAACATGTCAATCTCTGATGTTATCTTGTTTTATTGTATTTTTATTACACCTATGTCAAATAAGTTTCATGCAAATAAATGATTAATTTATCCTATTTTGTAGAAAAAAAATGAAGGAAACAAATAAAAGCACAAATGAAGGTACCTAATCCTAATTGAAGCTCAATGAAGCCTAAATAAAGCCCAAGAAAAATTAGAGCAAAGTGACCACGATAACTCATCGTTAAAGGTGTTGTAACATGTTTTAAGTGGAAATGTGCACGATAATTTTATTTGATCTATCTGAGATCATATAATATTGTCCGTCTTTCAATTATGTATCCAATAAATTAAGTTTGAGTCAAATCGGAATTGTTGGACTCAAGATATAGTCATTTTAGTGAACGAGTGGCAGAACTGTAAATATCCTAAAATTTGGTGCAAAATTTTCTAGCTTACATCGCTTGGCATAAAATTGTTTCTTGGGTACAAGGTTAATCCAATGGCTCATATTAATTTATATAATCTATAAATATGGGTAAAGAGTGAGGGTGAGAGATGTGAAATATTTATATTCTTTTTTGGGGGATAGGAGGACTACTCTTAGAGAAGGTCCGCCAATATTGTAAAACTTTAGTTTTGCAATAAAAATAAAAATTATTTTTTTTCTCTTCAAATTCTTCTTCTTTTCTTGTATTGATGAAGACGAGAAAATTTTCCTTTGGTCTACACAAAGCGCCAACTCCTTGCAATGTGAGTTTCTTTTAGTTTTTAAAATTTTATTGCTCAATTAGAATTGCATGCTTAGAAAATATTTTAGATTTAATTCACACTTTGATTTGCTTGTTTAATTTAGGATTTAATAAAATATATTGCTAAAATTCTTGAGATAATTAGGATAAAAAAGAAACTAGTATAACTTATTTATTAGAATTAGAATTAAATTTGCTCTCTTTTATGCCTTAATTATTTATGTAGAGATTAATCAATTAAGATAATAATTGATAGAATATTTTAATTTGATAGGTTATACTTTCTTTAAGTGGTTTGATAATCTATCTTATTAGTATTCTAGGATTATTATTTTCAGTTGACTATCCATGCATAAAGTTCAATTTTATTTTTAGAATCTATCTTGATAAGCTATGTTTTTTTTTCAATTAGATTGATAGGTTATGTTTTTTAATTCTAAAAATGAATTTAAAAAATATAATTTCTAGATCTAATAAATAGTTATCTAGTGGAATTTATTCTAATTTCCTAGTTTAATACTCTAGCCCTTTCTCTCTTTTATTCCTAAGATTTGTCAGTTGTCATCTTTTATTTAATTTTTATTTTTATTTTATTTAATGTCTTTCTAGTTCTTCTATCTCTTCATTTTCTTTCCCCTTTTTCTCTTATTTTTCCTTTTATTTCATTTTTTTAATTTTCTCTTTTTTTATTTACATTTCTATTCTCTCTGCTCTCTCTTTCTATTTCTATTTTCTTTTCTTTATCAAAAATCTAAAATACCCTTTTCAACACTTTTCCATAAAAAAAAACCCCTCTTTTCAAATAACTTCTCAGAAGGAAAATTTCTAATTTAAAAAATTTTAAAAACCCCTCCTTATGGTTTGACATTTTTCTATATTTTAACCTAGTTGTGCACTTGCAACGCACATGTTTTCTCACACAACAATAGTAAGTAAAGAGGGTTATTTTAGGAAATTTGGGTCCAAAAATAACCCTCTTTATTTACTATGTGATATCAAAGTAAATATCTTTACTATGATAACCCTTCCTAAAATAACCCTCTTTATTTACTATATATATGCAAAGATTGACCTTTTCAAATGTGTAATTTAAAGAACTTTCTATATTTTGAAGGGTTATTTCTTGGCCTACACTAAATTATATATACAATTTTTTCCATCAAAAGCTTAGGCTGTTATCGATGTGTTTATGTTTATCAATATTAAACTTTAGTGTAAGATTTTCAAATTTTAAAGTATAACTTGTAGAATTCAAATTCTTTTATTTTAATATAAAAATTAAGAAATATTAGTATTCACTTATTTTTCCCAAAACTTTTCCCATTTGTTTTCCCTAAATTTCTCTCATTTTCTTTTTATTCAAAAAAAAATCCTCAACATAACCCTCATTTTAAACCTTCCCTAAATTACCCTTCTCTGGATATATAGTCAAGGTTTTAAATATAGGATATCGGGAAAATATCAAATAACCAAAATTTATATCGGATTGCGAATATCAGCTAAATACTAGAAATATGTGGTAAATATTGGAATGACATAACAGATATTTGCATATATAGTACAATACTCTAAAATCAACATACTTAATGAAATCTAAGGAATGACATAACAGATATTTGCATATATAGTACAATACTCTAAAATCAACATACTTAATGAAATCTAAGCATAAAAAATGAAAATAATATATGTTTAGGATCACTAATCAACTTGTAAAACAAACAAAAGTACAAATAGCATAAAAAATGAAAATAATATATGTTTAGGATCACTAATCAACTTGTAAAACAAACAAAAGTACAAACCAGCATTACAACATTTCATCTAATTTTTTCAGCCAAAATGTCATTTGATATAATGGCAAAGTCATGATATCTCAACCCTAAAATTGCCAAACACGGTATATTATTTTGTGACAAGCCAAATAAAAGGATGTATCAGTCAACATATCAACTGAGATATCGAACATATCGGGAATATATCACCCAAAAATAGCTTAAAAGCAATAAATCAACATATCAACTGAGATATCGAACATATCGGGAATATATCACCCAAAAATAGCTTAAAAGCAATAAAAGATATTTACAAACCACTGCGACAAGCCTTGTAAAAGGATAAATCAGGAGATATATCAGGCCATGTCGAGGATATTTAAAACAATGTACATAGTGCATAAAGAGGGTACAAATGGAAAAGAAAAAAAAGCCCACAATATAGCTTTTCTACAAATATGTATATAGATAGAAACAGTGCATGTCTGAGATACTTGATGAGTGAGAGAGAGAGTGTGTGTATCAAAACATAATAGTTATTCAGATACAGAAGAAAGTAATATCTACAGGTAATATATGCTGACATTGCCATCAGAATTTCCTATTTTCTAACTTTTCTCTCTGAAACCAAATTCAAAAACTTTCTGGATTCAAAATGTTATTCCTGAGCAAAATTTACATACATTCATACTTCTGCAATCATAGAGGCACAGAATACAGTATTTCAATTTAAATAGAACAGAATATCAAGCTGATTACTAATTTAATAGAACAACCACCACCTGACTTAGAATTGTATCTGCTCTCTTTTTGGCCATGTTTCAATCTTCTCAAAGTATTTGACTGGAACTACACCATCAAAGCCCTCGGTCAAGATAACTTTGTTATCTGAAACATAAAGCTTCATTCCATCTGAGAAGCATAATTATTAGATTGCATTAGGATAATATTTATTTTATTACCCTAAAATATGAAACAACAATCAAGGTTATTACCCTAAAATATGAAACAACAATCAAGGTTAAGTTATATACCTTCTAATGCCTTTTTCACATCCAAGAAAATTAAAATATTGACATCCCGTCGCATGCCTTCACGAGGAAAAAAATCTATTATACATTGTAAAAGAAAAACTTCTTGACTGTCATCAACAAATTGCAATTTATGAATTGAGAGTTTCAAGAAAATTCTTAGATTTGAACCTAAGAATATCAGGAACATATAACAACAGTATATATGTAGTGAAGGCTCTGATGCACACTCGCTGCAAAGGAGATTCATCCATAACAGACGGAGAACATTGAAGTAACTCTCACCAGTTCTTTCCTTTCCTTTTCAATAATTAAATTGAACTTTATCACCTGACTTCTAAAAAGTATGTAATACAATGAATGGTTTAAAATAGCACGTTGGATAAAGATAAAGCTTCGAGATTGACAATTCAATCGCTTAATCTTGATCTAGACAGTGCAAAAAGTACTTTTATACCAGATTTTGTTGGAGTCAAAATATTTTAGACGGTAAAACTACCCCACTAGCTACGTAGACCATCAATTTTGATCTCACTTGATGGACAAGAAATAAACAAAAGAAATACTCGACCTTCGTTTACAGGAGTTTCAGATAATTCAGGTCATGTTTGATGGTGCAGATCTTCTATTTGCATAGGATATTTAGATGCATATTCTACATACTGACACGTGTATATACATTTTTGAGTCTTTAATATTCTCATGATATGACTAAGAAACTAGTTAATTCCAACTTGCTAAAATGCATGATATATGAAAAGTTGGATAAGCTGCTTCATTCCATATATCTTCATGCTATTACGTTATTAAAAATCAAACCATGCAACTCATATGACCTTTTACTAGTGCATCAAATGGTGGCCAAATCATTTTTTCTCAAGATAAATAATCTCATAATTCATAAACTAAAAGTTAAAAAATTTCATATTTAAGAAGTTGTTTTGATCAATATGAACGGAGTGAATATTCAATTTCTAACATATCATCCACTTTGGTATGTTATATACCATGAATCATTCAATTTCTAATGAATTGCACAGTACTGAATGGTGTGTTTTCCAACATATCATGCACTTTTGTACGCTGTGTTCCATAACATATCATGCACTTTGATGTGCGTGCGTGCGTCACAGCGCCTTTTTTTATCTCACAAGCTAGCCTTCCTGTGCGACACTTAGTTACTCTTGGCTCACTAGAATGGCTAAGCCTAGCCTACCAAACAAAGCACACAAGAACACTAGAGAACTTTAGAGGGAACTTGAGATTTCTATTACTCAAGCTTGTTTGGATACAAATGAGCTCCCCTTTGGTCTCTTTACATAAGAGAGGCTCCCGTTTACATAAATGGCCCGGATTTCTCTTCTCGAAAATTTTATACATCCAATGATCAAGATTAATCCTCTTGAGATTCTATACAAATATCTCTTATGCATGAATATACAAGAATATTCAAGAATATACATTAACATTCTAGAGCCTGGTTGACGTGGCGCTAATGTAAGCGCTAACTTGGCGAGAGAAAAAGTTGTATGTCACACGCAGGTGTGCACGTGCTTGCGCGCGTGTGGGCGGGTAGGTGGGGTGTGCGTGCACACTTCTTGTGTCTGTGTGCGGGCGTCACGTGAATGCGTGTGCATGTGCCCTTGCATGTGGATGGGTGTGAGGTGGGTGTGCTTGCGTATGCATGTGTCATATGTGCATGTGTACATGGTTGCATGTGTATGTTAATGTGTGCTTGTGGGCATACTAGTTATGAAATGTCACCTAATTTAACAAAATGAGCAACCAAGAGATGTCAATGACATGTGATTAGCAGGATGATCATTACCACTAATCTATCTCTCAGCAGCTCATCAAAAAAATGAGTAGCCACAACATACCCACTTTTCCATATACATATATATACCCACACGTGTGCATAGGAAAAATTTGTTTAGACGGTTCATGTTGCTAAATTATCTACCCAGATATAGGCCGGCGGCAAAGCGCATCCTACTAGTCATACTCGAACTAGTGGATATCACGACACTCTAGGGGAGAGCATACGGTCGGTTCGGCCGGTTTTGACCATCTTGAATCAAACCGAATCTAAACCGAACCATCGGACAAACTGAACAAAAACGAGCCAAGCGGTTTCGGTTCGGTTAAGTCAGTTTTTGCTCCACCACCATGAAGCAACTTGCAACAATAGACTCTTGCAATCCATTAAGCATAGACCCCATTGTCATGGTAAATACAAGATAAAAAGATAGATTGGAGATTAAATAAGTTAGAGGTTGAAAAAGAACCAAAAGGTGATTGAGGAATAAGCTATGATGATCGGTTTGTTATTGATATTTGGCAAGAAGGTTGAAGGCGAGCTTCTCTCTCTATTATTCAGTTGATTTTTTGGAGACAGCTTACAATTTTCCTTTTTCTTTCTTTTTTGATGAAAGGGACAACTTGAAATTAGTTTGAAATGATGTTTTACCGTGAGACTTCATATTATGCATTGAGTAGGCTTACGGACTTGGCAATGGTGTAACGGTGAGACTTTGAATGGGTATAGTAGGTGGGACACACAAAGGATTAGAATGAGTGAAGTATTAACGTGAATCCTTAAGTGAGGTCGGTCAATTTGGTCCGGAGTGAGTTTACTACAGCTTAAATGAAACCTAAGCCAGTATTCAAACTGCACCGAACCGCTAAAAGTCAGACGGTTCGATCTTTGTTCGGTTACAACCAAACAATACTCAACGCTACCATTCTCTTTTAACAGCTTACTTGGTTAAAGAGGTAGCAGCTCATATCCAATAACTTATACACACAGACACACTGCATCCCCATTCCATCACATTCAATAGTTACTATGTCAGACACTTTGAAAAAACTTCTAACACTTGACATCTGTGTCTGGCTATGTAGCACGGACACGGATCCGACACGGCCATCCGACACGTCGACACAAGGCAAATCCTAAAAAATACATAGGATACGTGTGTTCGACACGTGTGTCCGACACGGACACGACACAACACGGCTTCATGTTATGCGTATCCGTGCTTCATAGGTGTCTGGTATAAGGATAACACTGAAATGAGTTCTTTGAACTGGATGAAACAATTTCAGAGAGACCGGATCATCATCATCATGCAGTTTAACGTTCTACTCAAAAGGAAGCCAGGAGGACTCATATGTAGGAATGCTATGACAAGCACTTACCATCGGCCTCAAGCACCAAATGGAAAAGATTTTTTGAATAAAATCCAGAAAATGATTAGTGAGGTTTATCTTTTGGGACGTTGAAGATGGAAGGAAGAAAAGATGAATGTTGTAATTTACGATATCTTAACTAAACATGTGTGTCCTTTTGTTGTACTTCTCTTTTCTGTGCATATGTCAAAGCTTTATTTCAGTGTAATGCCACCCTAAGCATTCTAAAATAATGTAGTTTTGTATGATTATTTTAGAAGGGTGAATGATGAAGGCAAGATTTAAATCTGTCTTTCTAAATTAATTTAGCTTTTCAAATTTTACCCATAATTGTCATGCAGGATTAACTTACTTTACAGTAGATATCAGAATTTTAACTCATGAAGGTAAAAAGAAATTACAACCGTAAAGTGATAATAAATTATGGAGAACATACCGCTAATTACTTCGCCATCTGCAGGCGAGCCACTAGAGAAATGAACGTGTAATCTTGACATCCGCTTTAGTCCCGATTGCAAGATTGATTCCAAGTTCTTCTTATAGGTTCCATGCACACAAACTGTAGTATAAGGCCATTAGCTTTTGAAGGAAAAACTGAGTATTTTTTCTTACTTTTAATGAAATATTTACAGCCTAATTTATAAAAGATGTGGCCGGCATTCCAGCCCACCAAATAAGGAAACAGAATTCCTTCAAATAAGGAATCCTAACTAAAACTGGAAAACAGAAACTAAATCTAATCTTTTCTAAAACAGAATCTAAATTTAATCTTTTCTAAAACAAAAACTAAATCTAATCCTTTCTACACTCCCCCTCAAGCTGGGTAGTATATGTTATACAAACCAAGCTTGAAGTTCAATTCATCAAAAACAGCTCTTGGAAGTGCTTTGGTGAGAACATCAGCAATCTGCTGTCTTGTTGGAACATAACTGAGTGAACAATTCCGTTGTTGACCTTCTTTGAGATGAAGTGTTTGTTGATCTCAATATGTTTTGTCCTGTTATGATGAACAAGATTTTTGGCTATGCTAATAGCAGGTTGGCTCTCACTAAACATCTTCACTGTATCCTGTGTTTGAACCTTGAGTTCTCTTAAAAGCCTTTGAAGCCACATTCTTTCACATATTCCCAACGCCAAAGCACGATACTCTGACTCTGCACTGCTACGAGAGACAACAGCTCGCTTTTTGCTTCTCCATGTGACAAGATTACCCCAAACATATGAGCAATAACCAGTAGTTGATCTTCTGTCTGTTAATTCTCCTGCCCAGCTAGCATCAGTGTATATTTCTACTTTTCGTTTTTTCAGACTTTATGAATAGTAGACCATTCCCTGGAGTCATCTCCAGGTACCTTAAGATTCGATTTACTCGATTTACTGCTTCCATATGATCCTCATTTGGATCATTCATGTGTTGGCTTACTACACTGACTGAGTATGCAATGTCAGGTCTAGTATGAGACAGATAGATAAGCTTACCAACAAGTCTTTGGTATCTTCCTTTATCCACGAGACTGCTGTCTCCACTCCTATTCAGCTTCTTATTAGGGTCCACAAGTAGACCTGTTTCACTTAGTAAATCTAGGATGTATTTTCTTTGGGATATGACAATTCCTTCTTTAGACCGAGCCACTTCCATGCCTAGAAAATACCTTAAGGTCCCAAGGTCCTTGATTTCAAACTCTGTAGCCAACATATTTTTGAGACTGAGAATTTCCTGTGAATCATCTCCTGTCAGAATGATATCATCAACATATACTATGAGAATAGCAATCTTTCCTCTTGGTTTGCTTTTGACGAACAAAGTGTGATCAGCCTGACACTGGTGATACCCATTAGCAGTCACTGTCTTAGCAAACCTGTCAAACCAAGCTTGTGGAAACTGTTTCAAACCATACAAGGACTTCTTCAGCTTGCACACTAACCTGCTGTTTGAACTGGTTTCCATTCTTGACGGATAGTCATATAGACTTCTTCTTTAGATCTCCATTAAAAAAGACATTCTTTACATCAAGTTGGTATAGAGGCCAATCTTGATTCACTACAAGAGAGAGTAAAACGCAAACTATGTTGAGTTTGGCAACGAGAGCAAATGTCTCCTGGTAGTCAATCTCATATGATTGTGTGAAACCTTTGGCTATAAGTCTAACTTTGAGAGCAAATGTCTCCTGGTAGTCAATCTCATATGATTGTGTGAAACCTTTGGCTATAAGTCTAACTTTGAATTTTTCAACACTGCCATCTCCCTTGTATTTCACTGTGAACATCCACTTACAGCCAACTGGATTCTTGCCCTGTGGTAGTTTAACTAGAGTCCATGTATTGTTCCTTTCTAGAGCCAGAATCTCCTCTTCCACTGCCTTCTTCCATGCTGGAATTCTTAGAGCTTCTTGTATTGAATTAGGCACATGCACGTTGTCAAGAGTGGAAACAAAAGCCCTGTATGGAGGAAGCAATTTTCCATAGGCTACATACTTCTCAATGGGATGACCAATGCACCCCCTAACACCTTTCCTGCGAGCAATGGGCTGATTCAAATCATCAATCATAGGAGCATGAGCATCATATGATAAGGATTCCATACCATCATGATTGTCAGGTGCAGGAGGACCCGGTTCCAATGATTGAGAATCCTGAGTTCGATGTCCTGTATATGCTCAGTAGGTCTTCTCCTTCTATAGACACGTAGTTCAGGATTGTGAGTGTCAAGTTGTGGCTGATTTGAGTCAAGTGGGGTTGTTTCAGGCACAGGAATAGGCACAGTTGGAACTGTTTCAGGATTGTGAGTGCCAAGTTATGGCTAAGTGTCAAGTTATGGCTGATTTGAGTCAAGTGGGGCTGTTTTAGGCACAGAAGCAGTGACTGGTGTTTCTGGGACAGTTTCAATGATAGGGACAAATTTTGGTTGAGTAGACATATCATTGGTGTCTGGAAGAGGATCCCAAATCTGATATTCTCTTGAGTTCTCCCCTTGAATGTCAGATTTGGAAAAATATGATTGATTTTCAAAGAATGTCACATCCATGGTGTTGTATACTCTTCGAGTGATTGGAGAGTAACACTTGTATCCTTTCTGGTTGGGGGAGTAACCAATAAAGATACACTTAAGGGATCTTGGATCAAGTTTGGTGCATTAATGTTGGTGAATGTGAACAAAGGAGGAACAACCAAAGACTTTTGAGTGGTAGGTCAGAAGAAAAAGAGCAGATATGGGGATAGGCATTAAGAAGTATCTGACGAAGGGTTTGGAATTTTAGGACTCGACTAGGCATAATATTGATGAGGTAGGTGGCAGTAAGGATGGCTTCCCGCCAGAAATATTTAGGAACACTGTTGGTGAGCATGGTGGCACGGGCAACTTCTAGTAAGTGTCTATTTTTTCTTTCTGCCACCCCATTTTGTTGTGGGGTGTCAACACAAGAACTGATGTGAATGATATCATGTTTGGAGAGATAAGAACCAATAATAGAATAAAAATAATCCCTGGCATTATCAGTCTTAAGAATTTGGATCTTGCTTTGAAATTGGGTAGAAATCATGGAGTGAAAGGATTGAAATATTGTGGATGTTTCTGATTTTTCTTTCATGAGAAAGGTCCAAGTAGTTCTTGTGTGGTCATCTATGAATGTAACAAACCACTTAGCCCCATTAATATTTTTGATACGTGAGGGTCCCCAAATATCACTATGAATGACAAAGAATGGATGTGAGGGTTTGTATTGTAAACTGGAATATATATTTCTAGTATGCTTTGCAAGTTGACAAATTTCACATTGATAAACATTCGAACTTTTATTGATGAATAAATGGGGAAACAACTTCTCTACATAACCAAGGCAAAAATGCCATAACATAACTTGACTTTCAATTGAAACTGAATTGGAAACAGACACATAATTTAGAACACACTTGACTGAATTTGATGTAGGACCAAAACCTGACGATTGAACTTGTCTACCAAGGAGATTATTTTCTTTGAGCAAATACAGACCACTATGCATCTCAGCCCTGTCAATCACCTTCCCCAAATCCACTGCCTGAAAATCACAAAGATTGGAATAAAACTTAGTCACGCAATTGAGGTCACGAGTAAGTTGACTGATGGAAATTAAACTACAGTTCAAGTTGGGAACATAAAGGACAGAAGAAAGCAGAATGTCCTTTGTCAATTGAACTGATCTGATTCCTGCCACTGGTGATAAAGAGCCATTAGCTATTCGGACTCCAGAACTGCTAGTGCATGGCCAGTAATTTTTGAGTAGGTTGATGTCTCTAGTCATGTGATCTGAGGCTCATGAGTCGATTATCCATGGCTTTGAGGATTTATTTTGGACAATATGGGCATAGGATAAGATACTTTGGTGTGCAAGGAGACTAGTGTGTGGTTCGGCAGGTGCTTGAGATGGTTGTCCGGAACTCGATGCTTGACTCAGCATTTTCTGCAATGCTTCAATCTGCTCTCTGGTGAAAGGATTGTTCTTTGTGGTGACTGCAGCATTTGCACGGTTTTCTCTCTCAAACCGAGTATGGGATGGCTTCCAATCTGTTAGTTTGTCATGTAATTTCCAGCAAGTAGCCATGACATGACCAAGTTTCTTGCAATGGTCACACCAAGGCCGCCCTTTTCCAGACCTATTGGGTTGAGAGGAATTGTGGGTGAACAAAGCCGAGCCTTCCACTGCAGGTTTATTTTCTGTCAGCATTAATTTCTTTCTACTTTCCTCTCTTCTAACTTCTACAAAGGCCTCTCTAAGGTTAGGAAAGGGCTTGATTCCCATGACTCTCCCCCTGACTTCATCTAGATCCTTATTTAGGCCAAGAAGAATAGTCCTTTTCTGCTCAACAATCTGCTTATACAAAGCAGAATATTCAGCACATTTCCAGGAATAGGCCTCATACAGATCTAATTGCAGCCAACAACGTGTGAGGGTGTTAAAATATTGAGTGACACTCATATCTCCTTGTTTGAGGTCATACAATCTTGTCTCAACCTCAAACAGTTCAGAGGTATTTTCCGTGTTTGAGTATGTTTCACGTACAGCCTCCCATATGTCCTTGGCTGTCTTGTGAAGCAGAAAACTTTCTCCAACTTCAGTGGTCATGGAATTTATCAGCCAAGACATAACAAGATGATCATCAGTCTTCCAGGTTCCATGTTTGGGATCTTTAGTATCCGGAGCCACAGGCTCGCCGGTGAGATGTCCATCCTTTCCTCGAATACAAATTGAGATCATTGGAGATAATTCTGGCCATGGAGTTTATGGTTTGTGACGATATTCGAGGGAAAATCAGGGACCGAAGGGACTAGGGAATTGACCTCGGATCTGGAAGTAACCTCCGAGGAAGATGTCTGTAAAGTCATGCCGTATTTGGTCATGGTAAAGAACAAGAATGGCCAGATGAAAGGGGCAGACAGATAATGATGAATGAAGAAGAATGACTAGGGCATAGATATTTGCTCTGATACCATGAAGGAAAAACTGAGTATTTTTTCTTGCTTTTAATGAAATATTCACAGCCTAATATATAGAAGATGTGTCCGGCATTCCAGTCCACCAAATAAGGAAACAGAATCCCTTCAAATAAGGAATCCTAACTAAAACTGAAAAACAGAAACTAAATCTAATCTTTTCTAAAACAGAATCTAAATCTAATCTTTTCTAAAACAGAAACTAAATATAATCCTTTCTACAGCTTTTTTGCAGCTTGTTATATACATTATGAGTGCTGAAAATTTAGGGGGAAAATCGTCAAGAAGTTTCTTCTCCAGAATTTTACCTGGTACTTCATCAGCTGAGAGAATGGGCTTCAATAGGCTCTCGGAGCTTATAGTCTACAAGGAATATGGAACAATTAAAAATGAACAAAACTAAACCGTAAAAAGATAAATAAGCCACTGGAAGTTGCTCCTAGTAGGAAACAAGTTTTTGAGCAACTAGGGATCAAATAATACAAAAACCCAAGGTCTGAAGGCTCGGATTCAGTCCCTCTTATACAGCTCAAGAAGCGGGTTTCAGATGTTCACTCTTAGTTTCCATTTGTGTATTTATTTATTTTTGGATTGTATAACAAAATTAATAGACCATTAGTTACAGTTTAGATACAAAGTCTTTAGCCAATGGTGATTGATCTTTTTTTCTTAAAATGTACAGGATAACTATTTGGGTCATATGTAAAAGTATATTTAACAACTCAAAAACAGTTAGCTACTGTTTTCATTTTTGGAACCATTCATTTTTTTTAATATATTGGGTGAAATTGTATATAACTTTGAAATATATAAACAAGGTTCATTGTCTAAACCAAATATTTACACAAGTTCCATAGTGGACCTGTTAAATCATTATTAGTTGGTTTTTTAGAATTTCAGTTGATCATTTAATTTTAGTTTTGATGGTACGTAACATAGATGTTAGGAAACAGCCCAAGGTTTATTGATTTATACTTTCACTGTTTTCAGGTCAGCAAAAGAAAACTAAGCATACCATATGTTAATTTTCGGTAACTTGATTTAAGCCTATTATGCAAACGCTTGAGGAAAAAGAAACACCAGTCTCATACATGTGCTTGTCAGCATGTGTGATTTGCATTATTTGCATATACAGCAGGGGTGTTTTATGCTTGTTTCTGAGTCATCTCATTCGTTTGACTTCCCAGAGTCAAAACAGTAAGCATAGCAGGAATCACTGGACCTATTCACTAGATAAAAGAATTGAAGTTCGTAATTCGCATGTATGTGAGGTCATGGCCGATTGCTAGAGAAGGTAGAATAGACTTTATTCAATCTTACCAGGCTACCAGTTAGCTAACTTCTAGCCACTTCAGTGACACAAAACTTAGCTTAGAGAATTTACGAAGTACAGTCACAGCACTTTACAAATTTCTTTGAAGCTTTCTTTTCACACTTTGGGAGCAATCCTAAGCTATTGACATGTAGCCTTCACGTGTGAACTAGTAGAATACTTAACAGAAAAATTACAAGTTCTATGTGACTGTGTCTGGCAGTGCCACAGGTGGTGGTTGTTTTCTTTTTTTTTCTTTTTTTCCCTCTTTTGTGGATGGGGGTTGGGGGTTGGGTGGGGTATTACATCAGTGCAATCACCAACTTTAAAATTTGTGTTGGAAATTTGTTGCAGTCTCCTTACTCCCCATATGATCATGATATTAGATGACCTTTTATGGGAGTTTTCCACTACCAGGTATAGTGGCCGTCCTCATAGGGAACCACTTGGATGCTTCAACTTCATCCTGAAATTTCTCTAGTCATCTCCTGTGATTACTCTGTTTAATTTATGCAGCTATTTCTAAAGTAAGTGATTAAAATCAAAATATTCATGGTTTATCTCCAACAAGTTATACTAAAACGTAGAGTCCACTTAGTTGGCCAACATTGTAGCTGATCTTAGGGCTCTCTTCATGTACGGGTGATTTCCTATAATCCTATCTACAAGAAAAAGAAAAAAGAACATCCTGAAAGCAAACAGCATCATTGACCCCTAGCTCCATATTTCGTAGAGAGAATCATATGATAAATAAGTTTATCATATGTGATGGACTTATGGTAAGAGAAGAATCTCTGGATAAAATGAAAAACATGTTGACAAACTTAAATGGCACCCAGAGAAAATAACGAACATGGTGGCAAACTGAAATAGCACTAAGTTCTAGTCCTTGGTTTCTGAAACCATAACAATGATGTGGGTGTCAAGTCTAACAAATTCCAAATTACAGCCACAAACAAATTTATATAGCAGACGTAGTCAAACATTCCTGCAGATAGTAGTGCAAGTCAAACTCCTATCAAGCTTTATACTCTATGGAGGAAACCTATTATATATCTGCATACACATGAAGTATAAGATAGCATCAAATTATAACCTCATAAAAAGAACATAAAATATGATACACAGATTTACTTATGTATTTGCATACACGTGGGAAAGCTTCATTCCAAACCAGTCTTGCTTAATTTATGGAACTTAAACAGCATATCGACTTGCCAAAACATTTACCGTTATTGAGTGGCCCTGATTCGCACGAATAAAAAGCACTCCATTTTCTTCCAAAAGGCTAAACCGCTGCTTATTATCCTTCCTAACTGCCTGCTTAATTTACAACACAGACAATTAGTTGAAATTAGCATAAAGTAAAGGGCATTCCGAGTAGAAATTAACTCGATGGAAAGGCTTAGTAAACAAGAGTCATGCCATGGCTTCAAGAAAATCACCAGAAATAGTTCAAAAGTATAGTTTAGGTTTCCAACTGGTTGTCAATCGTCTATATCTATCAAGACGGAGGAAGGAAAAGGAGGAGAAAATCCCAATTGCTAACTGACTGAAAAATCCGTCAAATGTGTGTTCTTATTTATTTATTCTTTAAATGAGGATCCATTCAGTTGATGTAGCCACCCAAATGTCATTCACATTTACTATATCCATAGATTTTTCTTATCATAAATTAAGTATTTATGATCAGACAATTATTATAAGAAAGGCTAAAAGTGCAGTTACGAGCTACCTTTAATCTTCAAGTATCAGTTTGGAATATCTATTAGAATTCAACTTTACTCCTTACAATGAAACGTTAGCAGCAAGAATGAAATTATAAAAATGAAATATACACCAAAAGAGTGCCACTGAGTGAGGAATTTCTTATCGACGCTAAGCATTGTAAGTTGGTGCAATTAGAATTTAACTTTACTCCCGATGTTTTAAAAGCAAAAGGCGAGGTCAACGCGATTAGGTCCTATGTTGCATGAGGCGAAGGGTGCCAAGAAAGGCAATCGCCTGATCGAACCAAGGTGATAAATATTCAAAAACAATCATAGACATTATAAATAATATGAAAATATCAATAAATAGCAACAAGACAACTTAATCAGTGCCAAATTTTCAAAATCACAAATCTAATAATTTATAAACCATTTTAATGAAGTAGTAAGTAACAAATACTGAATAGTAGTATTAACTAGTACTGCTAACATAGATTATTAAGCAGCAAACTTTGAACTTTAAAGTTCAAATTTTGGCATGTCCTCAAAATGATATAGGTAATGAAGTACATTATAACAAAAAGGCAAAAAATCGACCAAGAAAAAAGAAATATAGAAATTCAATAACATAAACAAACTTTACTTTGTCGGACACCTTTCACACCCTCAAAATTCTAAACTAGAGACAAACATCATGCATCTTGCATCACATGCCTTAGGCGAACGTCACGCGTAGGGAAAATTGCAATAAAGAGAATAAAAGAAAACTAACTTGTATTTCTTTAATCTCGGTTACAATTCGATTACAAAAGAGAGGAGAACGAATTTGGTTCTCCCCTTTGTTTAAAACTGGGTTCTTCACGGTGGCGATGGAGTGCCTCCCTCGAATGCTCGCGTTGAGTTTGCTCTCCGTTGACGATCCGACGTCTTGTTTCACTGGAACATGATCTTCTCCTCACGATTTGACGTTGTGGAGAACTTGCGTGGCAAGTTTGAAACTCTGGATGAGTTGATAACTCTGAACGAGTTTTAACTCTTGAAAAAGAGTTGATTTGAACCGAAAGTTCGGTTGATAAGCCAAGGATGAAAGCTCTCGTTGCAGATCTCCCGAGCTCCAGAAATGCTCCCAAGATCCCTCCTTTGCTGCCCAGTCTTCGTTTCCAAAAGCCAGCCAAAAAGAAAAGACTTGAACTCAGTTGAGTTTACCCCTGTTTATAGGGAATTAAGGGGTGTAACCGCCCCCTTAATTCTCTCCATAATGGGTTTGAGAGGGGTGTAACCGCCCTCTAAATCTGCTCCTAAGTGGGCGTGATTTCCTCAGATCATGGAGGAAAAACGGTTCCTGCAACCGTTCAGCTCGTGCTTGAACGAGCCAAACGCCCACGTCGGCGTTCGAGACCCTAACTTCGCCTCTTAGAATTGAGACGCGAGGTTGGGTGTTGGCTGAACACCAATGAACGCGAGGGTCACTCGCGTTTTGGCTTGTTGTAACGCGGGTCCGACTCCAACGTTTTGATGTTGTAACGTGGGTTCGACCCTGGCGTTTTGACATTGTAACGCTGGTTCGACCCTGGCGTTTTGACATTATAACGCGAGTTCGACCCTGGCGTTTTGATGTTGTAACGCGGGTTCGACCCTGGCGTTTTGATGTTGTAACGCGGGTTCGACCCTGGCGTTTTGATGTTGTAAACGCGGGTTCGACCTTGGCGTTTTGATGTTGTAACGCGGGGTTCGACCCTGGCGTTTTGATGTTGGCGGGGAGTACCTCCATGTTTTGTTGTTGATACACGGGGAGGACCTCCGTGTTTTGGTGTTGATACACGGGGAGGACCTCCGTGTTTTGGTCTTAGAGCGCGGTGATGAGTTCCGCGTCTTGCTTTGGAGAGATTATCAACAAGTAATCTCTTTTGTCATAGCGTTGCAAAGATCATTGTCTTGTAATCTTCGTCTTGGCTCCTTGAGAATATGAGAGTCGTCAGATTGTAACTCCCGATGTTGATTGTGAATGTTGTTGAACTAGAGCTCTCATCGGTTGTCGTGAAGGTCGTCAGATTGTAACCTTCAGCGATCTACGTGAAAGTCTTCAAATTGTAGCCTTCTGGAAGTCGTCAGATTGTAACTTCCATCATCGGTGTTTGATGGGGGATAAGCTATCTATTGTGATTTTTAGACAGCCTACACTGAGGCACCGAGGCAAGGTCATGAGGTGCTAAGGCAAGCTATTGAGGCACCAAAAGGCGCTTGCCTTAGTAACGTTCATCGCTTGGCAATATGCAAGGCGCTAAGTTATAAGATCGCCTCGCCTGAGCGCCTAAGACACTAAGGTGCATCACCTTTAAAACACTGTAATTACTCTTTATAATGAAATGTTAATGACAAGAATAAAAATTATAGAAATGAAATATTCACCAGAAGTGTGTCGCTGAGTGAGGAATTTCTTATCAACACTAAGCACTGTAAGTTGGTGTCTCCTAATTAAATTTTACAAGGTAAAACAAACCTCCAGTACTATCTGCTTCCAGAATTAAATCCAGAATATGTCCATCTCCAGGATGATAGATCACCTTCAGAAAGTTTATGAAGGATTGACACTTGTGATCAGATGACGTCTAAACATGATGAAAAGTAACAGCCTAAGTGCAAAGTGCCAATATGGAGGAGCAACTGGTATCTTAATCAACTTAGCACAGGAAATCTATGTAATTCTTTTGGCATAGATTTATGATCGCAAAAAATGGCTAAGATAAAAGTTGGCAAGTTGGCAGCACCAGAGAAGATCCGGGAGGAAAGTCATTAGGTTATAATTTCAATTGACAATTATTGTGTAAAAAATTTATAATCAAATGTATCAACCAGTTTGTGTTTTAGAAGGCCATTTGATGTGACAAAACATATCAGCATAATGGTGCCAGCAATTTATTTTGGACATAATCTTGAGTTGAGCTGCAAACTTTTAGAAGCATTTAGATTTGCAAACACTTCTGTTTATTGCACTGTAAATACCACTCCATAATAACCACTATGCATGCAAGTTTAAAAAGTCCTTGATTGTAATAGTTTGTAGAAAATTACTGAGCAACGGGTTACTTCGAGAAGTGGATTTTCATATTGGAAGTTCAACCATCCGATTCTAACTTCAATTATTTGCATTCTTATGATAACCTGACCAACATAGTTCACTAATAAAAATATTCATAAACATACACTATATACCTAAAATCAAACGAGAAACAAATAATACAACAAGAAGTAATAACATTAACATTATGAGGTAGCAAAGAACTGACCTCTCTAATCTCTTCAATAGTATGCGACCTCAATGGAACTTTCGCGTAAGTCGTCAAATTCAGCAAAAGCAGATCCTTAACTCGAACGAATTTCAACTTTCGGGAGTTTCACAACGTCCCTCTGAGCATTTGAAAATTTCTATCCCAGAGCAAATACCATTACTAGAGTTTATCAAGCGAAGTTTTTTGTTACCGCCAAATTTGTGGAACTTTTTTGAAACTTGTGCAGATCATCGCAGTGTGAAAAAGCGGTTTTGTGAAAATTTGCACCCAAACCAAGAAATCAAAGAGAAACTCACAGCAGTCTTCCAAGCGCATCAATCCGATCAGACCCGACAGCGCCGCCGCTGCCGCCGCGACCTCGACCTCCCCCGCTACAAAGAAACCCAGATGGGTAAGTAGAGAATGAAGCAAGGAGTCGAAATATTAAATGGGTCTGGTTCAATTTTACCTCCTTCTGGAAGAAGAAGAGGAAGCCATGAGAACTTTAATAATACGAAGAGGAGGAGGAGAAAGAGCTCGAGGAGCTCGATGAGATTGATGAAGGAGGAAGAGATCGAAGGAGGTGGACCACGGAGTAACCAATTTTAATTTGTCTTCTGCACCTAGAAAATGTACCTGGACTTGTTGTTCAGCTTTGTAGTAGTAATAAAAAGACCATCAAGGCAACAAATCACATACATCTTTGGTCTCAAACATGGAGACAGTTAGGTCTCAGACATTGAGCTAATTAGGTGTCAGATATGGAGACAGATAGTAGGGTCTTAGGTATGAAGACAGGTAGGTCTTGGACCTGAAAACAAATAGATCTCAGACTCAAAGACAGGTACTCAGTTCTCAGAAATGATGTCAAGCAGTTGGATTTCAAACATGAAGACAGATAGTTCTCAGACATAGAGACATACAGGATGAAGAAATTTAAGTTAATAACCCACTCATGTGTACAAATATCATAAGTAGCTTTGGACAGGAAAACATCCTGGAAGTGTTAAATGCCAAAGCATGAAAATAAAGTTACGGATGTTGCAAGACTTTGTCACTGTACATTAAATGAGTGTTCCATTGCGCAACGAAATCAAATATCAGAAAACTAAAAATCTAAAATATTAGAAATAGAATTTCTGGTTATAACAAGTATAATGAGAATAATAATATGAACTCTCAAATCTGCATATCGACATTTTTCTTTAATCCAATAATTAAATATATGGAGCCATCAGTGGTATGCATGACTGTATAAGAGGCCTCTGTTCATTCTTAGAAATAATCAGAAGGATGTACAGTGCATTGGTGTCAAATTCTCCCCTGTATTCTTTCAAAATTAACTATAACCATTATTGCGCCCCGCCATCCACAATTCAAGTCATAGATACTATGAAGACTAACATGGTGTTTTTCTTCCTACACACAAAAAACATACGCGCTAAGCAAGGATCTAGAACCAACTGACTGTCAAATGCTTAAATAGCGTGCAATTGTAACTAAATATTAGCCACAACAATACTAACAAAATAAGACTAGTTGCTTAAGTATCTTCTCACAACTTCTCAAACGGTACCAATAACAGTACCTAAGTGTTCATTCTTAAATATAGACTGCAGCAATTAAACATGCTGGAATTGGACACAACTGCCATACCACAGCGTCAGGATTACTTTTTGGTTTAGATGTGGTGAAACTAGGTATTGCAGTTCCCATGTTTTAGTCCTATTTGTAATGATCCTGTTTACTTTGGATTAGCTTGGTCTCCAATTATTCAAAAACAGCTTAGATTGCTCTCCAACTATCCAACCAATATTTAATTAAGACTTATTTATTATCAAACAAATCACCATTTAAATTCATTATTTTAACTTCCAAATTTCACAATGGGTAAAACCAATAATAGTTCGTGCAGCACATAATATGTACAAAACTCTCTTAACTAGTTTCTCAGTCAAATGTCCTGTTATTATTCATATTCTATGTCATTCTTTTCTCAAAACCCATATTTGTTTCTGAATATGTTTCTCAAATTACTATGCATCATCAATTGTGAGAGTTTCCCAACAAAATTGAACTAGTTTATCAAAAACATGTCACTTTTTGGAATTAAACGAACATCAAATTTTTTTTGTCATTCACCTCACTTCAGTACAAAATATCCAATTGTCAGTCTTCGTATCTTGACAACATGCTATGAAATCACAGGCATTGCTATATCTACCAATGCAGCACAAAGTTGCAAGTAACTTAAACGAAACAACTTTATATCTATTCTGTATTGAATTTTGCTATTTCCCTTATCATTGTTACCGACTAAAAGTTTTATAATTTCTCAGTACTTCACAAGATTTTTAATCGTATAACCCTATGTTTTATATTTATTAATTCAGTAAATTTTAATGTTTGCCTCATCAACATTGTTTATCAATATTTTTTCTAATGCCATTACTTTGTAAAATTAAATCTAACATTTTCATGGTCAAGATTGGTCCCAATGTTCCAAGCACAAACATTTGGCATAGACCTAGACATAAATACATTTAACTGGACCCATCAGTTAGAAGAATTGGAGTCTCACAGATCCATCCCCATGTCTCTCTATGATTGGATTTGCATACAAAGAAAATAAACACCAACTTGATCCAATTTTGAATCTTAAAAGGACAACCAATAGCAAATCGACTAGTAAATCAGTTGATAATCTGAAGAAGCTTTCTGTATTTTCGCCCCTTCACTGTAACTCTTCTTAACTGTCCTATTATCCAATGCTCCTATAAATTACTCAAATGGTTTCTCACAAGAAAAAGATTCAAATGCCTCCTGATAATTAACTTTTGAGTATTTTTCAATTATTAATGATTAATAAATAATAATAACATAATGGACATCAGACCCGAATGCTAGAGAATTAGCAATGAGAATGGCTAATGTTTAAATTCAGTCCGTACTAGGTTTATCTAAATACATCTAACTAAATTAAGACTCATGATAATCACCTCAACTTCATGTCAATTGTGATAATAAAAAATTGACTAAAAAAACCTTAAGCCTTCAACATATAACATGCAAAAAGAAACAGCTATTGGCATGCAATCATTCAATACCTATGATACCCCGACACAGCAATTTTGGCACTGTACCCGTGTCGGGTGCGGTTTGGGTACGTTTCCGCACCCAAACGGAGGGGACACGGGAGCAGCTCATTTCCCACGTGTTGGGGAAGCTACAAGATCGAAGAC